CTCGGAGGCCTCCCTGCACGGCGGGGGTGGCCAGGAGCAGCCCTGAGCTGACACCCTGCCCCACCAACTCCAGCGGAGAGCCCCTCCCTGGTTTCTCCAATTGGATCTGTGTCCATGCTGGGGCCAGCCGCTGTGACGAGCAAGGAGGGGGGACTTGGGCGCTGGGAGGGTAGGGTCTGCCAGACCTGAGGGCGGTGGGCAGGTCCAACAGAGACGAGGATGCTGGGTGGGAACAGTGCCCACAGCAGCCTCCGTCCGTCTGTCTGCGAGCCATTGTGCCTGGGCGGTGGGGCCTGCATTCTCATCTCCTGCCGGTCCCGGGGCATGTTACCTGGGCAGAGGCGTCAGGGCTGCGGTTTAGACCGTATCTCTGGGCTCAGGCTCCCCAGTTACGGGCCTTCCAGATGCAGGCTCCTTGGGCGCAGGCTCCCCGGGTGCCGAGCCCCCAGGTGTGGGCTTCCCAGGTGCAGGGTCTCTGGGTACAGCGTCCACAGGTGCAGGATTCCCAGGCGTAGGGCCCCAGGTGAGTGCTCCCCGGCCATTTGCTGTGCGTCCATCCAGTGGGCCCTAAGCACCCACAGTACCCCAGTGCAGCGTCTTGGGGAGTGAGCAGGGAGGAGGCCCAGAGCTCATGGCCGGATCACACCATAGGGCCAGGCCAACCAGCGCCCCTTGCCCCCTGGGCTCCGGCATGCTCTCATGGCACAGAGGGAGGGTGCGCATGAACTGGAGCTCCTGTGTGTGTGCGTGTGTGTACATGTGCATATGCTGGGGGAACACACCGAAACCCACAGAAGCAGAGGAAAAGTTCTCTGAGAGACTGTGATGCCCCAAGCTGGGCTCAGGGTCCTGGTGCTGTTGGGCCCAGGCTGTCACCCTCTCCACTTGGGCCCTGCACGGCCCTGCTGTCCCCTGCTCCCCGTACCTGCCCCACCCCCCGCAGCCATCCCTCAGACTCTGGGTCTGACTTCCATTAGGCTCCTCGGGTCCACGGCTGAGGGTGGGCTTCAGTCTCATCTGGCACCCCACAGGGCGTGAGGGGGAGAGCTGAACGGTTCCCAGCAGACAGGCCGGGAGTGCTGTGGGCAGGTGCTTCCCGGGTCTCAGCCCCTGCACGTGTCTGCCCCGTCACCCATACGTCAGAATTCATGCCAGATGGGATGGGACCAGGGTCTTCACGGAAAATGCGCGTCATGAAAGAGTTGGGTGGATTTCAAAATCCTTTTGCATCACAGAAAACTCCTGTTATTATTTTAATTTTTGCTAAAGGACAGAGTCAGGGTTGGGGGCAGTAAGAAAGCGCCCCCAGGTGGGACGGCTGGCCACAGTCCCCTCTCCTCCACGCCTTCAGAATTTGGGCATGCACACGTGCTCAGTGTGATTTTCTTTTCTTTTCCTTTTTTCTTTTTTTTTGGAGAGCTTTTGCTATAGGGCACGTGTGCTTGCCAGAAAGACACACAGAGAGAGAGAGAGAGAGAGAGAGAGAAATCACCTCCGGAAGGGACAACCACACCGCAATCCCTTCTCTATCCTCTCAGGATCTTGGGTACACACACACACACACACGCACCCAGTGTGAATTTAAGTCACCAGGTCCGGGACTTGAACCGTGGTCGACTACATGGGAGTCCAGTGACATAGCCATTACGCCAACTGCTGGTCCCCCCGGTGTGATTTTCAAGCTGCCAGGTCTGGGACTTGAGCCATGCATTTGGCCATGTGGGATCCAGTGCCTTGACCTCGGGCCATCTGCTGGCCCAGGAAGCTGTTTTAATCCCATTTTTCCGTGAACCGTTCGATGTCCCTTGCACTCAGGGCAGGTGTGCACTGAGCCCCTCCCAGTGCAGCTGCGCCCAGTCCTCGTGCCCCCCCAGTGGAGTGCAATAGGTGCGATCCCCACCTGCCTGGCCAGAAGAGGAGACGGAGGCCCAGTGTGGCCCCTGCCCGAGGTGGCACAGCCGGGAGCTGCAGGGTGGTGCAGCGTGGCTGGCTGTACTAGATTCACGAACCATTCAGAGGCGGGTGCCAGCCAGGAGCCCGGGCCCAGG